GGGAAAGGAGATCACAGAGCTGTAGTAACCCTTGAGTGTGTTTGCATGTCCTGTTTGTTAGCTGTTACATGTTTCAGAAATAGAAAAATCCAGATGCACCTTTCTTTCAGTACAGCAGAGATCTGGTGTCTTCATTTACAAGTTTAAGTTGTTGTACATTAGCTGGACACAAAAGACTTAATTTTTGAGTTTCCTGGGTGCAGTGGTGGGTTTTTTTGTTTTCCTTCCCCTGACATGCTTAATCTTTTGTAAAACCCCTTTTGTGTTTTTGTTCACGAAATTAATGTAGAAATGAAGGTTTCCTAAATCAGAATATGCAGGGAAGATTTGAAGTAACACACTGATTGTATAATTAATTCTCAGTTGTAAATTCATTTTGATGGAGTTAATTCTTTCACAGAGGCTGAAGACTAGTTTTGGTTCACCCACAGTGCTGTAATCAGCTAAGAAATAAAGAAGAAAGAGGCCTTGAAGGAATGGAAGCTTCATGACTGGTTTTAAGGAAAATAATGCCAGAAACAGACAGGATATTTTATTTGTAATTCAAGCAAAAGCTTCTGAGCTGTGAGTTTGAACCATAGGTATCCAAATCCTGTTTTCAGGTCAGGGTGGTGGAACATTGCCCAAATGGGAAAGTGTGTTTAGTGGAAGGTGTATTTAGGAACGTCTTTTACATCTTCCACAAACATGGTAATGTTAAAATACAGCTTTCTGAATGACATTTGCCATTTACTAATAAATATGGACCAGTGACAGTTATCTTAGAATCACAGGATCATTTGGTTGGAAAACACCTTTCAGATCATCAGGTCCAACCATAACCTGGCCACTACTAAACCACGTCTCTAAGCACCTCATCTACCTTTCTTTTAATTGCCTGCTTGATGGTGACCCCACCACTTCCCTGGGCAGCTGCTTCCGACAGTGTTTTGTGAGGTGCTAGCTTCAGAAAGCATAGGCAGCACTCCATAACCTAAATAATTTGGAAAATCCCATTTGTCGTACTTCATTTGTCTGCTTCTCTCTTGCTTAACCAATGACCTAATCATCCTGTAGATGCGGTTAGACTGCAGGTTTCCAGGACAAAACAATAATAGCAAAGAAAAGACGTTGACACACTTCCAGGATTTTCAAGTGACTCTGCACACATATTGCAGCACACACTGGAAGAGCAGTTGGTAGCCTATCTTACTCTCTATAACTGATTTATTTTACAAGACTTTCTAATCCCAGTCTGTCTCTGCCTTTTCCTTGGTCGGGCTTATTTATTGTTACAAATTGAACATGCCATTGTCTAAGGGTGATTTTAGCATGCATGCTAAGTAAGAATATGCATGCAGTTGTCATTTTATCCTAGGATCTGGTAATTTCTGATTTATTTTCTTAGTCTGCTTGGTGGCTGCAGCAGAAGTTATGTTGTATTGGTTAAACTGCATTATCACCACGTTTCTAAGCTCGATCGAAGATGTGTAAATGAAGTCAGCATGATGCAGATAGAGCTGGCAGATGATCTTCCTTGCAGCTCTGGATAGCAAGAGTAGGCTTGCCCTGGAATATCACTTTTTCTAAAGTGGTTTCTTTACCTCTCTGAATTTGGACAGAATGAAATTCCCGCTGCCTGGTTCTCTGTGAACAGCTCTGCAACTTCTGCTTCCAGGTTTGGTGCAAAAAAGCCAGCCATGGCTAAGGGACCGTTGTACTATTCTAGCGAGTGAATAGTTAAAAATAATCCTAATGTGTCATTTACATTTGAGCCTAACAAGGTTAGAACTGAAGTTATGTGAAAATGACTTTTTGGTGCTATTTTCACATAAACCGACTCTTTATTTATTTATTTTGTTCTGGGGTTATTTCACACCCCAAGGGTTTCATTTTTGCCGGTTGTTTTATTAATGTAAAAATACTCATTTTCACACCCAAATGTGTGATTATTTAAAATGCTGCTTCTATTCATTGTGCACTCACTCGCAACCTAAAGGCAAATATTCAAATGTCTGGAGCTTGATAACTCCGCGGAGGTTTTGGCTGGGTTTTTCAACGCAAAAATCACTGTGAAGAGAAATGGGCAGTGAGTAATTCAAAGGGTTACAAGGGCTTTGGTGTCCTGTCGGCCTCTTCGCATCCATGGGTGGTTCATGCGTTACTCCAGCACACAGCGATGTAGTTGATCAGCGTTAACCCTCAGGTCCTTGCTTACTCCCACCCACCCATTCCCCTGCCCTGACTGGTGAGGACCACGGAGAACATGGATGCAACTTGCGTTTTACCAGCACCTCCCCTCTCTGGGCACTGACTGGTTAAAACACAACATAAAATGTCTTTTTTTTAAATTTTTTTCTAAATTGGGCTGATTTTGGAGGGTCTAAATGTGATGTAAAATCAGTGTCCAGGGCTCTGCATTTTGTAATAAGTGAATGTTTTGCTGATTTCTTGCTAGAATATCTGCAACCACACCAATTTGCATGCCTGTATGTGTGTGTTAGATTGCTGGCAAAGAAATGCTGAATGCTGATAATTGTATACTGATTTCCAAGGCTGATTTAAGTCATTTTGATTTTTAATTCATTCTGTGCTTCCTTTTTATTTCTGCACATGTGTAGTGATGTCCTGTAATGTTGTTGCCTAAAATAAGCAGTAAGAAATGAAGTTGAGATCGCTGCTGTAAAAGGAAAATTACATTTTTTCCTTTGATTCCTTTTTTTTCTGTAAAATAATAGGTCTCTGTATACAGAATATTCAAAAAAAATATGGCATTCACTATCTTGCTGCTAATTTATATACAGAAAACAGCATGGCAGCCTGCAAAGATCAGAAAAGTGATATTCAGAAGTTCTGCACAAGAATGTTCTTGTTCTTGAGGAGCACTCGGCACGCCATTGCAGGTCAGCTGGACTCAGGGCTGCTCAGCATCTCTTCTGGCTTGGCATGCAATTGTGTGCAAGCCTGGTTTGGGATCCTGCAGTCAATTTGTGTTAGAAGATGTAGAAACCTCTGCCTGTGTGCTGAGAAAGATGAAAAAAAATATAAGGAACTATGTATCTTCATATTAATTGTATATAATAAACCCACGGTGTGTGTTCTCTCCTTCCTTTGGTGATATACTTGAGTTCATGGATGCTTCAGCAGTACTGGGAGTCTTACTTCCTTCATATGAACATATTAACAAGTACGGAATGTATAAAAAGTCTGTTTTTCCTTTGTTAGGAATCTGAAAAAAAGGGGTTAATTGACAGAATCCACATGGTCCAAGAGATCATCATAGCTGTTCAAAGCATCCTAGAAGAAATAGCATCATTTGGGGAGAGGATTAAAAAGTAAGTGATATTTTTTTCTTGCTTAGCCGTGATTTGCAATGAAGCAGAGCCAGGAGGATTAAGGTGGAGCGAATGTCTTGCTCCAGAAATGACTGCAAGGTGCAGCAGGAGAACCTGGCCAGTCCTGCCACTGCTTGGAGCCTTTTTACTCCTAAAACCCTTCCAAAGCATAGGGAAGAGGAGAAGCCATGTGCTCATGTGATATAGCTCTCACATTTGCCTAGATTTCTGGTCTTGTCTGTTTGTGATGGGGTAGGGAGTCATGGTGTCACACAGGGGAACATATTGCTTGAAGATGTGGGCACAGAAGTATCAGGCGTTTCTTTTCATTTCCTTTACGGAAAGTAGGTGAGGATTGATGGTTGATATTGCTTTTCCCACGCCCTCCCCACCCTGGCCTGGTTATAGGGGTTACCAGTCACTTATTTCCCTGCCCAACACCTCGATGTTCCCCTCTCTTTACCATTTTGAGCTGTCTGCTTCCTGCTGGTGCCGTGAGGAAGCCTGAAGGGGGTTTTCTTGTTCTGATTGCAAGGGGAGGCACATGGGGTATTCCTGACCTTACAAAGGAGGGAGGTGAAAAGCCTAAAAAAACCAAACCACACACAAACTTTTATAACCCAATCTTCATTGGAGCTTAATTGACCCACATTGTTTTCTGTTTTGAACACAGTGATGGTTTGTGATCGAGCCACACTTTAATGAGGAGCTGGGTTCAAGCTAAAAATACAGCAAACGCATGTGCTGCGGTTCCACGCCGGACACCCCAGCTGGGGTGGAAATGGCCCAAAGATGTATTCCAGGCTATGAACAGGGCACTGTTCTGCCCAGCTGCATGGCAGGAAGACTCAGAGCACTTAAACACTATTAATTCTTGTGTTCATTTTGGTAACAATGGCCTTAAAGAACACATTGGGTATTAATGCGGTTGCCCGATGTAATTTCAGAAGAATTCCATTGTAACTCTACAGTAATGTACCATTAAAAAATTGCCACCAAAGTTTTTCTGTAAGTGACAGACTGAATTGTGCTACAGTTTGTGTCTGTCACTCTAGTTATATGATCATAGGGAGTTTTAATAGTTTAACTGAATTGAGCTGTTTTGCTCTTTTATTACTCTAACTTAAGTTACGTTGATTGATAATGATGGGTCCTCTCCCACCTATCTTTACTTAATATTTAATACATCTATTGAAGCTTAAAAGTAATTCTTTTACCGTCCTATTAATTTTATCTGTCAAGGGAAGTTCGTCTTATTTTATAGCCTGATAAGTGGTCCATGCTGATTCTCTGTTCTTCCTACTCCCCATCATCGTGATGTGATGAAGTTATCAGGCAGGTTGTATGAAACAGAGATGCTCAGATCAGTAAATCCACCTATGATCTAATTGGCATCCATGTAGTCCAGGTATCTCAGTATTTGGTAGAGATGTATCGAACAAGGGCATGGGGTTACGAAGTAACTCCAAAGATGTGTAAGCATTAGCTGCTCTTCGTGGGCTTACAGATGAGTGATCCAAGTGAAAGAAAGTCCTGGTTTGTGCTACAGTGCTACAAAAGTCTGAGTGACTGTGGTGACTGAGCCTCTTGAGGGTGCTCCCCTTGGGAGGTTGGTGGGATGCAGAAGCTTGGACTGCTGCTAGCATATTATAGCTTACCCAAGGCAACCTCCTATATACAACGTAACAATGAAATAAAAGCAAATATATCAATAATGAGAGAATTACATAGAATATTAATCCCTATAAATATATGGAGAAATGACTTTAACTGCTCTTTTATGGTTTAGCATCAATCATAATTAATCTGTTCCAAGGTATTGATGGGGTTGAGTCTGGCTACCTGCCACATTTGAGCCATGCACTGACACCCATCCCATGTCATCTCTGCTGTGGGCAGTGGAGCCAGCTCAGATGGCTTGCACCTGTGGCACAGCCCTGTCTCCAGATCAGATAATCTGCCCATGAATAATGGAGAGCTGGTTGGTCAGCAGAGATGTGTAACAAGTGTGATGCGTATAAGAAGAAACAAAAACAACACGCTATATGCTTAACAACTTAACTGAGCTCCCTAAAGACTATCTTCTCTCTCTTTTATCATGATATCTACCTCTTAGGTATCTCCCTTAATCTGTTATAACATCCAGATGCAGGAATCTGTTTATCCACCAAAAGGGTCTGCAATTTACAGTGCATTTGAAAGCGCCGAGCGCTGCAAAGAGGTCATTAAATTATTATTGGGTAGCAGTGTCCAAGAGCAGAAATATTGAGAAGGATTATTGTTCTTCTTTACAGCACATTCAACTGGACGGTGCCTTTTCTCTCTGTCCTGGCCTGCTTGGTCCTGGCAGCAGCAACAGTCATTTTGTATTTCATACCACTGAGGTACATTGTTTTAATCTGGGGTAAGTACTCCCCTGTGTCTCATTTACATGCAATAAATACAATATATATCTACAGAATGAAATCAAACAAGCTTTAAACAACCTGGTACACAATCAAGTGCTATTGCTTAGAGGTGAATAAATATGCTATGAACTTCTTAAAATTACCATTTCCTCCTCACCCCGGTTGATCTGATGATCTGTTTTTCTTAGGATTCTTTATAAATTTCCAACAGCACCACAAGAACAGCATTAGTCCAGATAAGCTACTTTCAATATTGTTATTATTCTGCAGGAGAGTAATTCGCTTTCTGGTTCTGAAGCCCCCTGGTTGGGAAGTGGCAGGGTGTGGATAAGATGTGTTTGAAGAGCTGGTCCCTGGGAGCCTTTTGGGTCTTAACTCCCCTGTGGTCAGGAGGAGCAGTGTGCCCTGTACCCCATGGTCCAGCGGGAGGCACTGAGCATCTCTTTGCATCAGAAGTTGAAACGTTTGTATGAGCGTGCATCATGAAGTAAAAGTGGAGCTTTTAAAAGTGAAACTTCCCTGTTGGTGTTATGAAGAAGAGTAAGGTGGTCTTTCACATAAGGAGGTGGCATTCCAGCTGCTGAACACTTTCTTCATCTCAGTATGGCCTTCTGTCTTATTTAGGGCGACATTTTTTGTCACAGCCTTGTAAAATGGCTGAGAACATAGTGCAGGTAATACCCACTGAGCCGCTGAAGCTCAGCCCCGGTGTGGCTCTGGGCTGTAGGGACCCCCATCACCCTCCCAGGACTGAGCCATCTGCTGCTGGCTTGGCTCTCCTGGATGCAGAAAGGGAGGGAATGAGAAGGTGGCAGTACATAAAAGCACTCTTGGGCGAAAAATAGATGAAATAAAGAATTAAATCAAACAAAAGAAAGGGCAAAAGGGAAGGAGAGAAATTGCTAGAAGTAAAAAGTTCAGTAACAAAATATTGCTGTTCTTGTATGGAAGACATGGTGAGTACATGAAAACTATACATCCGTTCAACATCATCTAGACTGACAGCGCCTTCAAATATGATACATGTTAAACAACTACCCTGTGGCAAGGCCTCGAAAGACCTTATGGTATTTTCTGTTTTTTAAAAATCAGGTACACAGAAAATTGTGTTGGCATTTTGCTACAAGTATATGGCTTAAAAGCTGAATCTCAGATCTGAAACAGGTACATTTCAGAGAGAGGAGAAGGCTGGAGCAGCCGTCACATTTGAAATCAGTTTCAGGGAAACCACTATGAGATTTTTGGACAGAGGCATGATGGAATTCAATGCTGTATTACAATCTGCAGAGGCAACCAACATTGAATTCTTTTGCTGTTCTTTAAAGCGGGTTAGCTGATGTTCTTCACCTAATGATCCTTTGCTCTTCTGCCACACGTTTACCTGGCCACACTGCCAGTTTCCATTTCTCAGTGTGGAAGTGGTGGCAGTGGAGTGGTAAGTGGCTGTGTTGGCACAAAGGGAGAGCTTTCTCAGCCTGGTCCATCCTGTAGAGATGGTGCTGGCTGAGGGCTGCTCCTCACTTCCTTTCCTCAAAGGGAGGAGAAGAGAAGACCTCATGAACACCACAATAATATGAGTGATACACTCTTATGGATCTTTTCCCACCAGGGACCACCTCTGACAGCTGAAGCATAACTAAGTCCATGGGGAGCACTGGTAACGCTGTTGCTGCAGTTAATAAGCCAAATTATTCACCGTAAAATCGAAGTACAGTAAACCTTGTGATTAGTTTTTAGTTTCCCACAGTACCCAACTTGTCAAATACAGTTCTGCAAAGAGAGGACAAGCTGTAAGACATGATGGGGAAGGAAAGCTTTCATTTTCAGAAGACATGGAAGAAAAAAAAGCCTTTATCCTGCCCAGTTCTTTTCAGAGCCCTGCATTTCCCTGGACACGAGGAGCGGAGATGTCTTTGGTCATGTAGCACAGCAGATTTAACAGTAGTCTCAGCTGCAAATTTGTGTTTCTCCCCACAATATCCCCCAGAATGAATGCGTGCTGCAGTCTCTATTTTCTTGCCACATTGTTGACAACAGATGATCCCCAAAGCAGAGAAATACCTTTATAAATAATGCCCTCTACTTCCTCCAGGAGGCACTTGTGAATGATTCTCCATGACAGGCAACATGTGCGTGGCTTTAAGTCCGAGGCACTGTTTTCACACTAATTTTTACTTGTGAATTCCTCTTCCCTTTTTCACCTTGCCTGAACAATTTAGGATGGAGGTAATTGAAAGGGGTTGTATTATTTTGTTTGCTTTTTGTTTTATTTTCTCCTAGGCATAAATAAATTCACTAAGAAGCTTAGAAATCCCTACGCCATCGACAATAATGAGCTATTAGATTTCCTCTCCAGGGTACCATCTGATGTTCAAAAGGTAGGTAATGAATGGCCACTGCCAACAGAGGCAACAAGCGGCACGGAGAGCGCCTGGGTGCTCTGCTCGGGCAATACGGTGCCAGTGCACTTTTGAATCGCGGAGATAAGGAATTGGGAAAATCCACAAAGGGGAGGAGGTGGGGAGGTGTTAGAAGAGAGAGGAGCCCAAAATCCTTTGTCAGAAGGATAAATTGATTGCAGAAAAATTATCCTGAAAAGACCTACTTAAAAATGATCTGGAAAATCAGCCAGCGTGGTTACTGAACTACCGTTTCCGTCACCTTTCTGCTCCGGTATTTGTACGGAGGGAAGATAAAAATAGTCTTTTTGATAGAGATAACCATCCAAAAGGATTTGCTGAATTTTCCCTTTTCTCAAGATGGAGCGGGGGAGGCATTATTTCCGTGACTTTGTGCTTGCTGTGTTTTTTTCACATCAACTGTCCCTCAAAATCCTTCCTCCCCACCCACCTTGAACGCCAGGCCTCCCTTAGAGAAAGCCTTGAGATGTGTGTGAAATACTCTGCAGTTGATCAGATCAGTCTTCTACCATTATGGAGTTATAACTTTTAGTCTAACCAGAATCTGTCCTCCCTCAATTTCAGTCAAGTCTCGTCTCTTTTCACATTTCTTTTAAACAACAGCACTGTCTTCAGTAATCTCGCCTATCTTCCTGGAAATTATTTGAACAATAAGTCCTTTAAGATGTCAGGATCTGTTTATTTCTCTTGGAGGAAGGAAAATAGTCTTGCTGGGTAGCAAAGCCACACAATATAAAGGATTCTTTCTTTTGTTTTAAGCAACTGGAATCTGTGTCCACAGGCCCTGATCCCAATGCCCTTGATCCCACTGATGTTGTACCTTCTCGGTGAATTGTGGTGCTCTCACAGTGAGGTGCTGCTCACTGTGAATACGGGGATCGCCATCTCACACACAGTGACTTTACTCTGTTGGAGTCAGAAAAATAATTGCCCACATGCAGTGTCAAGGCATCTGGTAGAAACAAGGTTGGAAAAGGCTTCTGGTAACATTTCTGTAGTGAAGTCTTGCCTTAGACTGGTGGGAGGAAAAAAAAGCTGAACAAAAATGATCATAGAGACATTAAGCTTTGCTGTGTTGTTATTTTTTGTCGTTGCTCTTGCAGAGCGCACTGGATTTGCAGTGATGGTTTGCATATGCCCTTTTAGTGTTTATGTTTAAAGATAAGCTGCTTTTCTATTTATGCTTTATTTAACTTTTACATTTATAACATTTCCTTGAGTGGTTTCTATCATTGTGGGATCCTTTGAGCGTTCTGAGGAACATGATAGCCATTTTCTATGAGGGAGGAGTGATAAAAGTTCCTAGAATGGGACCAATCTCAGTTTTCCATTAAATATAGTGAGCCTGTGTGACAGCCACACACTCTATTGAAGAGTAATCCATGGCAGGTCCAAAACCCTTCTGTCTGCTTAATTTTATGTGCTATCAGAGCATCATAATTTCACTGTGGTACGTTGGCTGTTTACAGCCCACAAGCGTTGGACAAAAGACAGAGGAGGATTGAGAAAGATGGCACGTTCAGCAGAAGTTTCCCATGATTTCAGTGGGAATACTTTTCTGTAGCACAACGGGCAATTTGGAGGTTACACCATCCTTGTCAGTTTATCGCACATGTTTTAACCATTATATTGTGTATGAAATTGTTTTGAAAAGTGGAGGCAGCTTTGTCCAGGCTCTATCTGGGAATATATTTTCCTTTTTTGAAATGATTAAATACGTCAGTATCCCAAGGTGTGTGTACGGTTTTGACAACTGTCATCTTACTGTGGGTTGGGATCCACTTGAATCAAAACTCCTGAGAGAAGTTTGTTAAACTTACAGGTTAATGCCAGAAAGATAAGAAAAACAACTCCCAAACCAAAACAAACCCAAAAGATCTAGCCTACATTGCTGAAATCAGGTAGAACCTCATGTATCTCATTAGAAAAATCTGCTTTTAATATTTTCATTTCAAGAAATGATGCATGACTTCTCAAATCCTTCCTGCAATTAATCCCCCATGTTCCTGTGTTTAGAAAATGATTCATTACTTTTGAACCTTCCTTAGTTTCCCTTGGTTGGTCCTCGGGGAGCCATTAACACACACTGTAGTGAGCTAGAGTTACCTAACTGCAAACGTCATGTCTATTTGTTTTTACAGGTGCAGCATGCTGAATTGAAACCATACAGCAGCTCCAGTCCCATTAGGAAGAAACGAAGCGCGCTATAGGATGCAGCGCGATTTCGGAGCACAGCATCTGCCTCCATACCCACCATGTGTGCACACGCGCTTCCCCTCTCCCCTTCTTGCTTCAGAGCAACACTATAATCACTGCCACAGACTTTGTTTTTGATAAACACCTATCTTGGGTTGACTTTTTGGCATGGAGTCGTAGCCCGAAAAAGAGCAAGGTGGAACGTATGAACTAGTTTGTGGGGTGGGGAGGAGAATGGGAGAAGATGGTGCAACTGCACCTTTTTTTTTTCTTTCTTTTTTTTTCCCTCTTCAATTGTAGAGGCGAGGCTGGATGTGGCAGCACTCCCTGTTTTATGTAGGAAATGATAATTCTGCTTAGTGTAGCAGATCAGCTGAGCTGATGTGAGGAGATGCTCTGAACCAGTTTTCAACATATCCAACAGATTTACGTTAAGATATGAAAGCTATTCTTTCCCGAGTTAAATCACTGTGCCTAGAAAGGTTTAAGCTCTGAATTAACGAGTCTTTGATACCCATCTTCTGTTCAAGCCATGTACATTTTAAAGAGTTTTTTATCATAATTAGCAGAAAGAGCTGGGAGCTCCAACAAATCTCAATATTTCATCCAGCACTTGTGGGTTTTTCTTTTTCCTTTTTTTCCCCTTCTTTTTTTTTAAAGCCCAACCTGTGGTTAACTCTTTGGATACTGGAATCATCGGAGATCCATTGCTGGCAATGGATGCATGAGAACTTTCTGCTGTGAAAGGATTAAGAGACTGTGGAAAAGCCTAACTCACTGACCTGAAAAGACTCTGTTGACTTGCCTTTAATAATTCCATCTCATCAGATATTTTCAGCATAGCTGTTGTTTTCTTGTCTAAATCCAGAGGGGTCAACACTACAGATCCAGAGGAAAAAGCACTTTATGGCCTTAAAGACACAAGTGGTTGTGCAGAAAGAGAGCACGGTGCCTAGAGACGTGGGTGTGCAGTGTTGTGCAGGCTTTGGTCCATCACTGTTGTCTCATTGCAGTCTTTCCTGGTGGTTCACAAGGCAAGAATCAGAAAGTGAAGTCATATGGAAACTGAGCAGTGAAGAGACAGGAGAAAGGACCCCGTTTTCTCATCTGAGGAGAATGTGATTTTTTTTGCTTGCTTACCAGTCTTTTGGCTATTGTGCCTTTGTTTTATGAAATTCAGATAACCAGCATTATCCATGTTGTTTGACTGGGGAAACAAACAGAATCCTGTGTAAACCTGCTTAATTCTGGTGAGAGTGTAACCCTCGATCCTTTATGTGCTGTAGGATGTTGTGGGAGTGACTTGCCACCATGAGTCACTGGTAGCATGAGAGCTGAAGCTGCTGCTTGTGATTCCTAGGCAGGGAGTACCACCAGCATCCCTTGAGGTAGTTCACAGTACAAAGACAGAGAGACTCCCAAGAGACAGATTTCTTTTTAACAAAGGAATCATAGAGTGGATTGGGTTGGAAGGGACCATAAATATTTCCTAGTTCTGACCCTTGTCATGGACACCTCCCACCAGCCCAGGCTGCTCAAAGCCCTGTCCAACCTGGCCTTGAACACTTCCAGGGAGGGGGCATTCACAGCTTCCCTGGGCAACCTGGGCCAGTGTCTCACCACCCTCACAGTAAAGAAGACTTTGGAAGTCATCCAGTTAAAGTTAAAACAGGTAAAACTTTGTTTATGGATCAGCAGTCCAAATGGAGTCGTGCCATATGGTTCAGTAGTGCAATCTTGTGGGCCTGTTGCATGAATTTGAAGAAGGAAAGCTAACACCAGAGTATCTTCCACTTGATTGTTAGCCAGATTCAGTGATTTTTCAGGAAGTTTGTTTTTTGAAGTAACAAGCCCCACTGTGCCTTTGAATAAGGAGAGGCACATTTTCATAGACTTGATTGGATAAAGAATGTATTTTGCTCGTGCAAAGCTGTGTGTAGCTGCAAATGGAAAGAGAAAAAAGACTATCCTGGTTTAAAAAGCCACAGAAATGCCTCTTTGTGTGCATGTGTGCTTGTGTGCCCGTGTGTATTCAGTTGTATATAAAGGAGAGTACTTATATAATGTATTTATAGGTGAGTGTGTGGGGGAAAATGGGTGAATATACAGATTTAAAAACCTTGAAAATGTTTATGAAAAATGCCAAAGATTCTAAAGCTTATCATCTCGCGTCTGTTCTTCTTCATTTTGTATCTTTCCCGGCATGTCTCTCTGGCTGAGCCAGATCTCTGCATGATTTGATTTACTTCAAGTTAATGAAGCTGGTTGGAAAGAGCCTTGTAGAAATTATAAAACCTCCAGTAAATCTCCTTCTTGTACATACAATAGACGTCTACGGACCCCTTTTGTTAAACCAGTTTCTCAATCTTCTGTGTAAACAATGCCTCATTGTCTCGCTTTAAACTATCATCTGGTTTATCATACTGTACTCTTGTCATTTTGTAAGGACCAAAGTCAGACGTATTTAAGCAGGCATGTGAGATCTGATTGTTGATTTGAGTGAAAACATTCAACTGCAGCAAAAATTGTTTATTTATTCAGAAGTTGGGACTGATATTTTTACAGCTTTTATTTCTATAGAATTTTCCATGTGGAACTGATTTTTTGTTCAGGAGACAGGGTGGTGTCTTTTTTTTCTTTTAAATGTAGATATGTTGTGTTTCAGACTGATTGGTATTAGATTGTTATGCTGGAGACATAACTAAAGGAAGGGGGTTGGATGGTCCAGTACCTATACACGTTGTAATGAGCTTTTTGTTTTGATAAATGCTGTTTGAAATGCAATAAACTTTTGAGGTAGAGCTGATGCTTTTAATTTATCTGGATTAGGAGATATGTTTCCATTCTTTGCAAAGTGCTTACTATGCTATAGTATTTAGTGTCTGAGTAGGTAAGCAAGTACATTGTGTGACAGTGCAGTGTAACAACTAACACCAGGGTTTACTTGAACTGGAGACTGTGCTGCAGCAGGAGGTGTGGTAAAGCCTTGCCCCACCTGCTCACAGCTATTTAGGGCTTTGCTAGGTCCTACCTAACGGAAAGGAGGGTTATGTGCATTTACTGCACCCACCCGTAATCAAACTCTTTATTCAGATTTGCCATTTGATTCTTAAAGCAAGAATAATAGATGATGCATATCTCTATGTGTCCATTGGCCCATGCAAATTATAATTTTTTTCATTGTTGACCTATTCAATGTATAGCATGGAAACTCTAAACTTACATTTTTTAAGTCAGGGTCGTCAGTTCAGTGCAGGAAGATGCACATTTGCAGTCTGAAGTCTCTAAGGCCAGAAGACATTCAGAAATTTAAATCTAACTTATGAGTCTTTGGGGTAACTGTGGATTACAGAATCATGGAGATATCAGAATATGACTGAAGATGTCCACTAACTGTACAGCATGTGAATAACTGGATTTGATGTGTATGTGCAAATACAATACATGCTCATGTTTGCCCAAACAGGAGCTGCTGCTGAAGGTTGGTTTGTTGAATAACCATGAACAGGACTGAGGACTCAGCTCCCCTATGGATCACTGTCAGGAAAACTCAGTCACTGAAACGCACTTTGTGGAAAGCAAGCAGACAACTGAATAAAGCAAAGTCAGTGGAAATGTCATGCACCTTTTCTTTCTTTCTGCTTGCAAAGCTCTGATTTTAACCTTCAGCCATAACCATTCCTCCCTCTGCTTCCCCTCGGTCCTCTCCCGAGCTACCCAGAGAGCGGTGGGGAGCTTGGGCTCTACTGAGCTGGGGCTCCCACCCTGCACCCCTTGGCATGGTGGTGTCCCCTGGGAACGTCCCCTGTCCCCTGGCTGCTGCTAATGCACTGCCTGGGATAAGAGTACTAACAGCGCCCTGAATTGGGCTGTCCTGCTAGAAAACAGAGACTTGACATTTAATTTCCTGTACTCTACATGGGGCTTCGTTTTATTTATTTATTTTTAATTTGGAGGGCCTGATCCTGCAGGCGTTGCCTCAAGTGGACCTGGAGTTATTTTCCCATCAGACTGGTAGGTTCACACCAGGCAGGACTTTGGTGCCTCTGGTGTGTTAAGAAAAAAATGTACAAAATACATTGTAATCAAACCTCAACCTTTAGATTCTCTGTCCTTGAAACTAAGCTGATAGACTGTTTGGGAGATGTTAGCTTTGACTTTAGAGACTCTGGCATGTGTTAGAAGTGAATCCTGTTCTGACTTAATATTGTACATGTATTTTATCTGTAAAGCTACATGTGTCATGGCCCTGGAGCATCTACCCCTTCAAATCACACAGGGACACAGTAAGAATATCTGCTTTTTCACATTTTTAGCAGCTTGGAAGGAAGCTGGGATACTACAAATTATTGTTAATTTGCTGTATTGCAGATGGGGTGTTTTAATCATTCTCAAATTAGGGTAAGTTAAGCCAGGTGGAATTCCATCATTTTGGGACAAGGAATGTGAAAGACAGTTTATCAGTGGTGAAGAAACTCAGCAGCAACAGCAGTTGTTATAGTTCAAGGAACTTGTGAGCAAAAGATGTGTTTGTGGTTAATGTAAATATTCACAGGCGTTTAGAAATAACGTTGGAATGGCAAAACAGCCCCTTGAGATCATATCACATTTGATCTACCTTTTGCTGTGATGTTTTGGCTTAGTGCAGCATTTCAAAAGAACCCAGAAGGTCGTTTTGTTTTGAATAAAAGACGTGCTCTCCTGACATGAGTCATGAAGCTGAGCATGGGGAAGCAGGAGGTGGCATTGGGGTCTCAGTGTTTCCAACAGCAGCGGCACCTGGGCGGGCAGGAGTTCAAGTTCTCAGCGTGGCTTTAACCCGAGGGCTGGTGATTCTTGTTAAATTTTACGTGAAGGAACGTTGCCAATGGGTTCCTGCGTGTTGGATTGAACACCTGCGATTTCCCTCTTGGCTGAACAAGATGATATGCCTCTTGCAGGGGAAGAAAGCAAGAGCTGGAAGACTTGCTGATGTAAACTTTGTTTGCACTGATGTCCTAGTGCAGCCTTCTAA